TCAATGGAGAAAAAGCAGTTTTGGATACTCTCCAAAACTGGTCTTTCCCCAAGCCAGATACAAATGATTCAGATGTTTTAACTACATTTAAATAATTTATTCATGATGGAATAACAGCTGTACGTGTGATTCCACGCGAACATTCATGTTGACAGTAGGTATGCACCGGGTCAAGTTACCGGAAAATTAAAGTCTGTTTTTTTCTGATGGGTGTTACTCTCAGGGTTCCATATTAAAGAGGATCCCTCACGCTTATATTATTTTGTAGGTTAACTTCATTTTACACATTACGGAAGTAATCTGAACTCTTACATCGCTTAGTTGACGTAAAAATAATTTTGTTTTGCACTTAGAGTAAGACACTTTCGATTCCGGATAAGGGGTGTTCTACCGAAATCAAAAATGTCTTACCCTAACGAGAGCACCTCTCGAGGTTATAAATCGCTTTTTGATCGAAATCTAATGGGTTATAGGTTATCGACCATGCTGATTCCGAATATGATTATGGAAGCTGCCCATAGCCGTTAAAAGATACGGTTTTCGCGAAAATTAGTTTACAAGAGACTCTAAAAGATAACCAAAACCTGTCTTAACGAGACATAATTGTAACCGGCAAATTTCTGGTTAAAACGAGACATCTCCCAGCTCTACACGACCTTTCTTTGCAAAGTTATAGAATTTACGAGAAAGCCCTAAATTAATTTCTTCCTTTTTGTGTAGCTCTGAGCGTTTAGGACTTTTCTTGTAAATTCTTTAACTTTGCAAAGAAAGGTCGTGTAGAGCTGGGAGATATCTCATTTTAATCAGACATTTTCAGGCTGCAACTATGCCTCCTTCAGAAGGGTTTTGGTTATTCTTTAGAGTTTCGGAAAAGCGGTTTTTCAGAAAAACAGATCTTCGAACGACCTTGGGCAGCTTCCATAATCATATTCGGAATCAGCATGGTCGATAACCTATAACCCATTAGATTTCGATCAAAAAGCGATTTGTGACCTCGAGAGGTTCCCTCGTAAGTGCAAAACGAAATTTTTCTTATCGTAAGATACTAAGCAACGTAAGAGTTCAGATTACTTCCGTAAAGTGTAAAATGACGTTAACGTGCAAAATAGTATAAACGTGAGGGATCCTCTTTAATGTGGAGGCCTGAAAATAACACCCATCAGAAAAAACAGACTTTAATTTTCGATTAGCTCCGTTCGAGTTTTCGGATAACTCAAAGCTCGGTGCATACCTAGTTGACACTACTATGCCCAAGGTTTAAAAAATTGGAGAAATTCAATCATTTATATGGAATAACACTGATGGGTTATTAGAAGAAATGTAATAAATAAATTCAACGATTAGTCTATTAACAGCATTAGATGATTTTTACTATCGGTACCTGTAAGTAATGATGATGAAGATAGCAAGGATGTTGATGTGACAGCGTGGTGTCATGACTTATATCTCGAACGGGATACAATCCCGACCGGTCTATACGATATATCTCGATTGGACTACAAATCCTGATCGGGACAATTTGTATAGCCCAATCGGTCTATATAATCAATCATTCCTTTGTTTTGGCCTCCACTTAACAACTGAATAAAACACGGACAATGCCATTCGAAAGAGGATTCAAAATTGATTCAGACTCCATGGTGGTCGGCTATTTGTATCGCTTGAACTACTGCATAAAAATCCGATCAAAAATCACGTATTTTCATCACGACATAAAATATATCCGGTTTTTGATATTATTTTTAAAAACTTCCGTTTTGGCCAAAAATAAAAGCTGATTTCTGGAATTCAAGGCCGCTATCGGATAGGGCACTTAAAACTGCATGTGAATTCATGAATCTCCAAAGTATTGGATGACGATAACCTAATATTCATTTCAAAATACAGTATCCGTGGCTATTTTTCGAATAACTTCAGAACTAAGAGAGATAGAGACCTGCAGTTTTCAACGTTTTGTAGAGGAAGCTTTACTGCATCTTTTGATATATGGGAGCTTTTACGAATTGGATTTCCAGGCGGTGTGCCTGACATGTGAAAAAAGAAGAGGTTGCAGGTACCGAAGCTAAAACAATTTTTTTCACTCAAGGTACACCACTGAATAGCTCAAAGTCCTCCACAAAACTGCGCAACTCCGAGTTTGATACCTATCAGTCTGTCGGATCCACGATAATTTTGCTGTGACATATCTATCTCGGTCCGATTAGGTCTGACAACCTTAGAACCATCTCCAAACATGGGTTATCAACAATGATAAATCTCATAGCCAAGTTAGTTTTCAAAATAAAATGGAAGACCGAGTGAAAACCTATAGTAGGTCAAATAATCCATTTTTGATTATTTCCATCAAATATTAAAAAATTCATAACTCGTTCAAAACCCATCCAGAGACTACTTCAGAATACCAACATATACTTTATTTTATCTGTAGTGTACTGTAAAGCTCAGTAAATGTTTTAAAACCCAACAGAAAACAAAATAGAGTATATGTTGATATTCTGAAGTAGTCTGGATGGGTTTTGAACGAGTTATGAATTTTTTAATGTTTGATGGAAATAATCAAAAATGGATTATTTGACCTACTATATATTTTCACTCGGTTCTTCCATTATATTTTGAAAACTGACACGGCCATGAGATTGATAACCCATGTGTGGAGATGTTTCTAAGGTTGTCACACCTAATCGGACCGAGCAAAATTACCGTGGATCCGACAGACTGATAGGTATCAAACTCGGAGTTGCGTAGTGTTGTAGAGGACGTTGAGCTATTCAGCGGTGTACTTTAAGTGAAAATATTATATATATATATTGGAGAGCCTTGAGATCGTAGCTGAGAATACTAATATTCTAGAATGATTATTTTACATGTTATTACTTTAGTTTACTGAAAGAAACTTTTATACCTTACGATTAGTGGATGATCATATTTACTCTCAATACTTTTTTGAACATGTTTAGTAATACACCTCGAAGGAAATACAACGTCATCTCGATTCGAATCTTGATTATATCCCGATTGAGATATGTATCCCGTTCAGGATAAACTCTATACGCTGATCAGGATAAATACCCGCTTCGGGATATAAGTCATGACATCGCACTGTATAACTGAAAAGAGGTGGAGAAATATGTAAATGAAGTAAAAACTGCTGATGGTACGACGTTTGATTAGCATCATGGTTTTTATATTGGAAAACAAAAATATCAAGTATATCCAACGTTGGCAAAATTGTTAAAAAAGAATTTATTATAACAGCAGAACGTCTGTTTTCCAGTACTGGTTTTACGGTTAAGAGGGGGAGAGGAGAGCGTGCCCCTCGGTCTCAGTCGATCAGTAATCAAAAACTAACCCAATTTACCTCAACACGACTACTAACACGACCTCAAGTGGTAAGAAATCTTCCTTCGTCCTTTTTACTTTTAGAGCAAGTACAAAAAATTCGATTTCTGTTGTGGAATTTTTTCCAAAATGAAAATTCTAATCGGCTCACAGTACGAGGAATTTTATGACGCATCTTTCTGTTATTATTATAATGCATTATATTTCTGAAATCGCACGCAAGGTGTTAAAATAGTACTTTTTAGTAGCAAAAAGGCACTATAATGATATAATCTTTTTGCTCTGAGAGTAGTCATTCAATCGTCAAAAAGATTTCAGGCTATATGCAAATCGATCTGCTCTATTGAACTATAAAAGAATCATCCACAAACCTTTACTTTGAAATTTATTTAAAATTTTATACCAACAGGTGACCTTTAGAGGCATACAACTCATAAAAGACATAATTCTGTTAAAACGACTTCGTTCGCAGAAAACATTTCAGGGTATAAGCAGTTTCAACTTGTTTGTCTCAACCGTTTTCTAGTAATGGTAAAACCAGTACTAGAAAACAGACGTTCTACTGACGTATGCGCAGCTAGTATACAATAAATTTTCTTTTTCCAATTTTGGTCAACGTTGGATACACCTGATATTTTGTTTTTCGATACAGTAAAATATGATATTCATAAAAAGGACGCGGAAGGGTTTTCGGTCACAGCGGCCTTAAGCAATTCCGGAAAAAAACTATATGACGATGATCAGCATCGAATTCTGAACAAAATGCTCATTTCATTTCTCAAATTTTTGACTTTCAGTTTTTTCAAAAACTTTACAAAACAAATACAAAAAATTTGACTTTTTTGTGGAATTTTTTTCCAAACGACATCGTTCTTCCACGACGTTTTCGTTGTTATGTGTTAATATTTTATATCATTTTAAAAAGTTAAATACAAATCTTTGGGATGTTTTTGGTTTAAACCTAGCATCGATCCTTTCGGTGTCGGTTAACCGGTGCATACCTATCCTGATTCTAGAAATTTCGATGAAATCTTTATATACACTGCAACAGACAGCAAACTCCTTCGGCTATTCAAATCTTTTTTCAGATTTGTTCTTGCTTTTATGGTTGAGGAGAAAAATCAAAAATAAATCGTTTCGATGCTTTTGTCCAGTACTGTCTTCTAAAGTATTTTCAATTTCTAAAACTACCGATTCTAATAAAAGTCGTTGACCTCCATCAGCAGCAAAAGAAACAGCAACTTCACATGACTTTGTCGTTGAGAAGAACGTATTAATTTCTCTTGTTAAAGTACGTACCGGTCGAACAAAGTTGGACGAACGTTGGATCGGCCCTTGTTGTATCGTTGAAAAGTCGAGTGAACAAACATATTTTGTTCAGGATAACATGAGAGAAAAAACGGATTGGCCACACATTTCTCAATTACGTGCAGTTATCAAACGATGGGATCATGTCGTCTAATATAACTATCAAAATCCTCTACTGTAACACCGACAATTACAATACCCCCAAGCTGTCTCTCGTACATTACCATTACCACCGGTGACATCGACACACAACGAATCAATTTGGACGGCGTGGCAACGTCTTCGATTTGTTGACACGACAGGATAGACAAATCTTTCATTTTTTGATGTCCGGGACGTGCATCTTCGGTGCCGGGGAAGGTGTTATGACCCGTATGTCCCAGATGCACTCATAATATAAAATCATGTTATTGCGCAACTCATGCTTCATCATGAGATTTTCCTAACTCTTTCTGTCCTTGCGCAACTACTGTGAAACTGTTGTAAAGCTCTTGCTCAACTTTTGTACTATACATAGCCGTTCACTTTCTTCAAATAAACATAGAGTGGGAGTTAGATTTCACAATCATTCATCATTTCCTTTATTTTTACGATTTACGGAAGTAGATAATCTTGGAATACACTGGATGGAAATAAACCGTAGTTTTAAATTTAACGGTTTTTACTTTTAAAAAACTTTAAGCTAGATGAGTGAGGATGCGTCAAATAACACGTCAAGGTCTCTCTTGGCTACAAAGTGGTGAAAATTCGAAGTCTCTGGTCGTTCGGGTTCTAGAGTTATTCGTTATATTAAGAATTCAACAAATCAGAGAGTACAGAGTCCATGGTTTTTATCGACGGTTGAAAAGTTATTTGAAAAATACGCATATACCAATAATAGTTATCTAAAAAACAGAGAATAAAGCAAATAATGACAAAAAAAGGAAGAGTTAGTAGGAATAACTCATATACACAACAACAAAAACAATTCAACAGATTTTGTGTACTTCAAGCCTGTAAAAGGTAAAAATAAAGGAAGTGACATATGCTACGATGAAAAACGAGAACTTTTTGCTAACTTATCTACATAAGTCAATAACGAAGTGAAAAATGAAAGTGCTTTAAATACTACTAAAACAAGAGCACTTACTAAAATAAGAGCAATGTTAATATTATTATAAAACCTGAAACGTTTTGCTTTTTCATCTTACTTTTATTATTTCTCTAAACTTAAATATGTCGACCTCCTCCAAGCAACCTTGCTACCTACCAACAAAACGATTCAAATAACAATGTCGAAGATTTTACTCTAATATGGCTTGATTCTAATGTAAACCAAACTGGCGAAGAAGAAACAAAGAAAATCTCAATTATGACAGATTATCAATTTCATCAAAACATTTAACGAATCTGACACATGCATCAAATACATAAAATCTATAACAAATGAAAAAATATTTATCATTATATCCGGTTCATTAGGTGAAAAAGTTGTATCAATGATACATGATTTATCCCAAATCCAATCGATTTATATTTATTATCTTGATACGAATAGACATCGACAATGGATTAAACCATATAAAAAAGTTCACAATGTTGTCGATAATAAAGACGATTTGTTAATATTATTGATTTAACATCAATAAGTATATTTAATCATACAGCTAATTTAAAAGAAAAATCTGTAAAAGATTTAAACAAAGAACAATCAATATTTATATGGTTTCAACTATTAACTGAAATTTTATTACGACTACCGAAAACAGAATTAGCTAAAAAGCAAATAATGGATGAAAGTCAATTAAATTACAAAAACAATGATATAGAACAAACAGATATATCTGATTTGTTCACTAATTATAAGCCAAATATGGCTGTAGAATGGTATACACGTGATACATTTCTGTTTCGTTTGTTAAACAAAGCATTTTGTATTGAAGATATAGATGTTATGTTTAAATTTCGCTTTTTTATCGTTGATCTTTATGAGCAGCTATCTAAACTACATTATAATTTTATCTATAACTCAAATCAGGCGATGACAACGATATCTTAACATTCTACCGTGGACAGATGATCTCTCTAGCTGAATTAGAAAAATTCAAAGATAATATCGGTGGACTTTTAGAAATTAATACGTTCTTCTCAACGATAAAGTCAAGTGAAGTTGCTGTTTCTTTTGCTGGTGATGGAGGTCAACAACCTTTATTAGAATCAGAAATTTTCGAAATTGAAGTAAATAAAAAAGTAATAACAAAATCGTTTGCTAATATTAGACATTGTAGTTTGATGAAATCAGAAGACGAAATACTTTTTTCAATGGGTACTGTGTTTCGTATTGATCTCGTTGAACAGTATACAGACATATTGTGGTATGTGAAATTGATTCTGAGCAATGACGAAGATAAAAGGTTAAAAATCTTAATTGAACCTTTTAAGAAGGATATTGGAGATTCACCAACCCTGTTGACATTAGGCGAATATTTATGGCAAATGAGTGAATTTGATAAAGCAGAAAAATATTATGAAATTCTACTAAACGAATTACCATCAGATCATGAACTAATTGGAAAAACTTATAATAAAATAGGACTGCTGTATTATGAAAAAGGCAACTTTCGCCCCAATAATCTTGGACTCGTGTATTACAACCAAGGTGAATTAGCCTTAGCGCTGAAAAATTATCGAAAAACGGACGAAGTCGAAAAAATTATTTTGCCGTCAAACCACTCAGATCATGCAACAACTCTCTTGAATATTGGAATTGTGTATGACAAGCAAGGAAACTATCCATTAGCATTAAAGTATCTTGAGGAAGCATTGGAAATAATGAAAAATACGCTGCCAGAAAATCATCCACAAACTGCTCTCGTGCACAACGATCTAAGTGCTGTATATCGTAAAAATGATCAATTAAAACTAGCTCTGCAATATTTACAAAAAGCGCTTGAAATTCGATTAATATCCTTACTACCTAATCATCCCTGGCTTTGTCTCCCTTATAATGAACTTGGTTTAACTTATACTGCACGGGGTAATCATGTAGAAGCAATGAAAAAAATATCAATATGCTTTAGATATCTGTTTAACAACTTTACCAGTCGATCATCTATATCGAGGAATAACTTATAATAACACAGGAGAATGTTACGCTGATATTGGCGATCATTCGGATGCTCTCGTTTATTATAAGAAAGGACTTCAAGTTAGAATTTCAAAAAACGACAAAACTTAGATTGATATCACTACAAACAGCATACAGTCCGAATGATGTTACAACACTTTTAAATCTTATCGAAAAAGAAACATGACTTGCCCTGTATCAAAAAGAAAAAACAAAAAATAATCTCGTTTCATATAGCACATTCCACCCACACACATGAGAAAACGAAAATTACAAGCCCGAAATTTTCATTTTCCAGGTTTTAAGAAATTTTTTACATTATATTTTTTTGATATATCATAATGCTACTTTTTTATATTATATACTATTGATACGCGATGTTGAAGATATTGTGGATGATGATTAGGGGGTGGACTGTTATTCCCGTTACTCTGGTAACGGTAATCGCTCTGCTTTGCGTTACCGTTACTAGTAAAGGGGAACGATTCAAGCGTCACCGTTACTGTAGCGGGTAACGGTTAAATCAAATAAATAAGTTTCAAGTTTCCTTAATATGAATTGTGACTTAAAATGTTAACTGCAAGCATTATTCTTATATATAATTCATAATTCTTTTAATACTATCAAGGCATACAAATCTCATTTTTCAGCATATTTTTCAAAGTCGAGTTATAGATTTTCCAAAAATCTATGGGTTTTCAGGTATTTTCCATCTTCCACAGTCCAGCAGCACTTATATTAAAAGCATAATATGATATTCGGAATCAGTATGAAAAACTGCGTCGATTAATGTGAATATCAAGTATTTCTATACAGAAAATGTTGAGATCCAGTGTAATGCGACGGTTTTAGCGAATGGACAGGGCAGCTTTGACTTCGCACATGGATATGTTATAGAAAAGCAGCACAAAAGTACTAAACGGTGTTTTATAGACTTTCGTACGTACTCTTTTCAATGACAGATTTTCAAACTTTGAAAGTGTGTTTTTACAGGTGTTCCAGAAATCTGGTCTTCAGGCACCTAGTACGAACATACTTTGGAAGTTTGAAAGCCACGCCATTGTAAAGAGCGCACACCAAAAACCTATAAAAAGAGCGAGGCTTTCGTGCCACTTTTTTAGCACATGCCCATGTGCTTAGTAAAAAATTGTCTACTGTGTTTGATAATCAAATACAATCAAACCAATACCCGTTACAGTAACGGTAATGCTTGAATCATTACCCTCTACTACTAACGGTAAAGCATATTCGTTACCGTTACAGCAGCGGGTAACGCTCCCCTCCCTAATGATGATATCAATTTTCTGTTATATTTAAAATTTGTTCAATTGTGTAAAAAGTACCGGATAAAGAAAAAAAAGTGGTTGCCTGGCGTCCGGACTAGTCCGAGCATCTCGTTCAGACTAGTCTGAAAAACGACAATTTTTACAAATATCCGAGAGTACGTTCTGACGTACTCCCCGACGCCAGTCAAGGTGCCAGTTAAGAACGAAGAGATCCCAAAAGTTAAAATGACGCCCGTCGTGTCGCGTGACTTCTGTATAGTCAAGACTATTGCGTCGGCGTTGCAATGCAGTCATGCTGCTCGTCTTGACGGCATATATGCCTGTAATTATATCGTAGCAGCAAATGCGTCGTCTGTTAGTATAGCTGGACGTCGCTCCAAGCTTTACGTCCAGATTAGTCTGTTTTTTTGGAAAAGCTTTTAGAAAAATGTCAAAAATACCGTCTGGATCATGTTAAAGACGTGCGTCTTGAACGTAATGTACCTGAACGTGATATGTACCCATCATACCACTGTCAGAGGATGCAACGTCCTAACTGTATATCAGACGTCCTTCTTTTGTACTCAAAGGACTATATTGGCCATGAGTACGAGAAGACGCTACGTCTGATATAGGATTTGGGCTAGTCGCTTAATTCAAAAAATTTGACTGTATGATCAACAGTAGCCAGCATAATTTTTTCTTATTTGCTCAGTCGCTAGCAAATGGACGCGTCGATGCTGAGAATAATAAAAACTCCATTTTTCTCGAAATGTAACCATTTTTAGTCTGATTAAGGGTTTTATAAAGGATAATTTTTTGAATTGAAATTTAATTCTTACATTATTTGTTCCTTTGGCTGGAGTATAAAATGTTTCACTAACGAGAGAAATTATAAATAGTGTTTTTTACAGAGAGAATAAGAGATAATTAATTTTATTTCTAATTTCCGCTTCATTTTTCCAAACTAGTGCCCGTATTGATAACTGTTAGTATTGATCGGTATTGGCAGTATCACCAGTAATTATTCTACGCCAGTGCATACCTATCCTACACTATAAGAAGGTTCGAAGTATGCATTGCATCTCATATTTTCAGCTTAATTTAAAGAAACTCTTGTTTAATACAAACTCTGTCAACGACGGATATACTTTAACATCGTAGACTGAAACATTTTTTTTTTAAAGTTTGTATTGTATTGCTACAACAGTTACCGTAGATAATTAAACATTCGATTTATTTTTCTCTCTTTTTTAGGAGCTGTGAGAATCAAATTTAGTTATCAGCAGAAGTATTTGCTGATTTATGGGCAAAAAGATTGAACCAAAATTATCTCAAACTTGTTAGGGCATTAAAAAAAAAGTAAACTATCGCTCTTTTTCTCGTTTTATCCTTAAAGTCTGCTGTTTTTTTGAAAAGATATTTTTTTCCATTTGTTTTGTATATCTTTCTTCAGATACTGTGTGTATAAAAAACAATGATTTTATTCAATTAATAAGAGTTGAAATTATTTTAAAGGATAGTAAGAACAGTTGAAGAAAACAGCAAACTGAATAACGAAGCACTAGAGTATGGACCGGTCTGGAAAACTCACGGCGTTTCTTATCAGATAAGAATTTTACAAGAGGTTGACATGAAACTGATAAGATTCTTATAAGAGATTCATAAGGAAGTGACAAGATGACTTGTTACTTTCTTATAAATATCTTATAAAATTCTTATAAAAACCTTACCAGAATCAGTGAATTTCTTATCATTCCCGTGCAACATCTTATATAAGAATCATGTAAGAATCCTATCAGAAACTTATAAAAATTCTCAAAAGTTCTTTCTCTAAGGTCCTAATTCGAAAAGTTTTTGGTCTGCAACTGAGAACAATCAGCATCACCTGGCATGTATCCTCATAAAGATCAGAGTATCTGAAAATGAAGAGGAAAAACTTTGAGACCTGATTTGATGCTACAGAATCAGCATTTATTGTTTACTAATAAACACTGGGTTTAAGAGCAGACATGAACGTAGTTTCTCTTTGTGTTTACAAGCAAATCTACTATGACTAGTATTCTGAAAGCTGTGCATTCTTTCTCTGTTTCACTAACTCAACTCCCGCGGTACACGCGCAGATATAAAAACTTATTTTTCTTTCATAATATTGGTGGCATGTATCCTATATTAAATAATTGTTCAGAACATAAACATAAATCACACACGGCCATGAACGACAAACACTTATTTACAATAAAAGCTTTTTAAATCACATTATTTTACCCATACAAAACAATAATCTTAATGTCTGACATACCATATGTTCACTCCCTTAGACATAAAAGAATATTTTTCTGTCATAATATTGTTATTGTGGGTGGTATCATCAAGTTTCGTATGAATTTTGGTTCTATTCTTTTTCTCTTTTCTCTTCTTTCTGTCTGCTGAATGGATTACTCATCTTTAATAGAATATTGTATAGAGTACTTGTAACGTCCCCGCCAGTTGAAAAGTGGGTGTGTTTCTCTCTCTCTCTCTCCTTCAGCTATAGAGTTTTTTCCTTTCTTCTTTCTTCTACTTGACACTGTGCCAATATAAGTAAATGTTCTTTTCTTTCTCTCTTTCTCATTCTACTCATGTCCTGTAATTACGTATCAATGGCGAAAAACAGTTATGCTTATGCAATAATAATACTATATATGTACGTACATTCACATAACTTTTCATTTCATTTCTAACTACTTCATCGAACGCACATCTCCACTCTCTTACTCAATCCATCGTGTATTGTCAATTAAATTTATACAATATGGCTCAAGATTTATTTCCAGAATTCACTAAAGGAAATCGATTTATTCAAATGATCAACAGCACACCATTGGCGACTGCGAAACAATTCTCTTCTTCTTTTGTTGCTATTTCTAGTAATCATCAAACTCCAAATATGAATTTTGCACGGCCATTTCAAGAAACCACTGTGGTGAATCCACCACCGAGTGGTGGTGGTGGTGGTGGTGGTGGTGGTGGTGGTGGAGCTGGACAAGGCACGAAACCACCAGAGAAACCCAAGTGAACTATTCCAATATGTAAATAATTGCACAGACTTTTCATGTATCAATCATTTAAAGAGATATATCATTTACTTGAGAAGATTATCTCCAGAAAGAAAGACATTTATGGTGAGTGTCTATTTTTACTCTATTCCAAATATTAATTCTAAATATTTATTAGATTTGAATTAGAGTAAGTAAGTGGCTTCAGTTACTCTGGACAATGAAAATAGATCAGTATTGCATTACTGGTCTCAATGCTGATTAACCATGTTGAAAAGAGCAAAAAGAAAAGCAGCATTATTCACTGTTGAAAATGGCAAAACTCAAAAGAAAAGCAAGTCGATCAAAGAAGTTTCTCAATCAACTAAAACGAAAACACGAAGAGCGACTATCACTATCACTTGAGAAAGTGAAGACAATCGAACTGCTGTATTTCCGGATAATTCCTGTGAATATTGGCTGTTCTAGATATTCATTTCATGGTTGTCATCTAAATGGAAATTATTATCCACCTTCACATGGAGAAAACAATTTCTGTTGTATTGAATTGAATTGCGCTTGTTCGACATAAAATAGGAATGTCATGCTTTTTTCCGATAATGTAGCTTTATGTACTAATTTTCAGTTTATCTTTCAGTTTAATTTTTGTTTAATAAACTTCGGTTTACGAAATAACTGTAAAACATGCTCGATTTTTAGCCGATAAACATGGACACGTTGTCGGTTTTGTGGAAAGGTTTTTCGCTGTTCCTTCAATTATTACGCTACCCGATTTAACGATTGGTTATCCAAAACCCGTTTGTTCCTTCGTTATCTCGATTCGTGTATATTTCAGATGAGCAAATGTGTGGAAAAGCCAATGATGGAAGTCTCATGTTTTACTCTACGTATCTTCATTTCTGTAACAACTTACAGAGGTTGCTGCTTCTGTGCTTAAGTTGTTAAAATATCTGTACAGTTACTTTACCAGTTAGCGCAGATACCAGCGTTTTATGTTTAATTTGTTAATTGTTGTTAATTATTTGCCTGATTTAATTATTGGTTCAGTAGTACGGTATGTCGGGCTAAAAATATTATATTCAGTCAGACAAAGTTTTCTCTTCACCTTTTCAGGTTAGCGTTGTTGCTTTTCTCCATCAAATACAGTTATTCTTTGAAAGTGATCTTTCATTAGCGTTGAGAATAATCGTAACTGTACCATACATGCTGTCTGCTAGTAAGAAACAACCCTTCAGGTTATTTATATATTTGTCTTTGGGTAATATAATAAGTTTTATTGTTTTCCGTTTTTCTGACTGCTTCTGGATAAAAAGTACTGTCAGTTGAGGTGCTCTGAGTGATAGTTCCTTGTATCTCTCTCAATCCCTCTCTCCACAGGATCAAGCCAGACCATTTCTTTCAAATTTTTTTCTTACATATTTTAATTTTTGCTTTCTCTTTTATCATTAAACTAATCGTTTACACAGTGTGGGAATTTTTCTATAGCAAGTAAATATCACAATCAATTCTTTGCTCGTCCACCATTTTTCATGAATAATAATATCATTGCTTAGCCATCGTTAATACTCTTGAGGAAGATATAAACATTTTTAGGAAAAGACTTACTTTTTTCGAAAAATCGGTTACTTTTGTTTGAAAGAATGAAACATACTAGCATCGTCTCTGATGTACTTGACTTACAGTGTAAAAAAGTGATGTTAAGCACTATGCATAAAAACAAGACAGAAATAAAGTGTAGAATGAAATATGCTTCATAGGGACCGTGGGGACCTCTGTGCCCAAGTCCTTGACTTTGTGGCGTGTGTATCAGATACAAAGTATATTTTATGTACTACTCTTTATTTCACTCCTTTTCAACGAAAATCACAACCCCAATCACTTGTTCGCAGGATATTTCGAGTACTCGAAAATACGTTTTCTATGTGCTCTCGCCGAGGGCTCCACTCCTCGAAAAATGGGACTTCAGACCCTATATATGATCGTTCGAGGATTTATCGATGTCGTCCTCAGGTTTCAGATAGCTAGCGAGCCCTAGAGGAAAATTCCGAAGCGTCGAACGGAGATGTTCGGGGCCCAAGCAGACGAAAAAGCTTCCGAGCCCTCGTCGCTCAAGGATGAAATGTGGGCTCGGTAGATATCGAGGCAGATATCGATTTGCTCAAGTATCAACAAATAATCAAGCAAATTATTGAGGGGATGTCAGTAAAATGAGGGCAAAATATGATTGTTACTGAATACGGCGCACAGGAATGGATAAAATAAAGAACGGACAACAACAATGGGATTTACATGATCTACTTTCCGCGTATTTACTTTCTATTGATTAATTTCCAGTTTAATTGTTTTTCTTTCTTGGAAAAGTATAGTTTTTGCTGCACAGGATTTACTTTCCGTTGATTACATGTAAATATATTTCAATTAGCCACTTTCTTGTATACTTTTTCTTGTATTCCAAAGACATGATTCCGTTGAATATGGTGATTACTGCTCTGCTTTCACAGTACTTCCATTATTTAGCATCTGGAGTTCTTGTGCATTTCTTGTTCTGAGTCCGAAGTTTAGTTAGTTGTCCCCTTATTGATGAATGTTTGTTTCGTTTGCAAAATTTGGTAAAATTCGCGGAAAGTAAATCGTGTACTCACAACAATGGCTGTAGTATAGCGAGGATCGGAATACTGGAAAGTTTGTTGACTAAAAGTACATTTACTCAATAAAAGTGTAACTATATATACGGAAAGCTTTATTCTTGATTAAATAAACAGAAGTGATCGATCTCTATATAGTAATATTCATCATGAATTCGTATCTTATATATCAGATTGAACCCCCTCCCGGAATAGAAGGCCATGGCCTTCTATGATGGTTTCGCACATTGCACTCTTTTTTGTGAAAAACTGCCCTTCCTATAAGGCGTTTTGCAAACATTTTCGCTTTAGACTGGCTTTCTGCTCTAAGGGGGGTGTTAGTCAATATTTGTTTCAAATTCATCTCACTTTTGTCGCTTTACAGACATTCACGATGAATTTCATAGGAACATTTTAGAAGTCAGTATTTGATTGAAAAACATCAATTCTTTTAGATTTTTCTCACCTTCCCCATGAAAAAAAGTGCTATATAGTAATGAAGGCGTCGATATACGACAAAACTAGATGGAATACCTCTCCAGAGGATCCCTAAAGCGTACGTAGACTGGATCGATGACTGGCTTAAGGATAGGCACGGCTTGAAATAGATAGGAAATGTTCTCGCTTGCTCGCTGCAAAGAGACGCGGTCCTCAAGGTTCACCTCTTACCCTGCAGTTTTTGTCACCTAACACTCGGATATGTGGACGGACCTTTTTAGAAACTTTTCTAGGAAATTTCTTTGCTGATGATCTAGCCAGTGTTCGGAATGATAATATTAATAAAAAAAATCGTTTGTATTTTGTACTCATTAAGTGCTAAAATTCGTACTAATTTATTTATCAACTGAATCGCGTAACTTTGCTACCCCAGTGTAAGTGCGTTACTGGTTTTACTCTTTTAGTTTATGTTACAATATTTAAAAGGAACATTGTAAAAATGTGAGAGACGTTGTGTTTTGTAGCTAAAAGTATGCTTTCAAACATCCTACCTAGGATCAACTCCGTCCACACAATCATATTTGCGCCATAACCGAAACACCAGCATCTAAGAAAAAAATGAATTTTAATTTTTAGCGTACTGCATTTTAGTTGTAGCACAAATATGATGAAGTAAACAGAGTTGATCAACAAAAAGCGTAAAACCGATAACGCACTCGTCTGACCACTTCATAGATGGGCGCATCTCTGACATACAAGATAACTTGTGAAAAAATTTAAACTTTTTCTATGAAATCAGTGTACACTACTTACAGTGTGTAACAAAAGTGATCATACAAACAGCCTTCATATAAACTTATTCTTACTTAAATACAATTTCCATATAATTGTTAAATATTCCATGAAGACAGTCCATGAAAGATAAAAATGCTTTTACAAGAAAAACTTTTTAAATCACATTCAACGCGAAAAATGATTTCAGCATTTGAAATAATCGAGAACTGAATGACTTTTGTGAAACTAATTAAGTATAGAACGCAACAGCAAGATAAAAAGAAGGATAACTATCAATGAGACGATTTTTTAGTCCAAAAATTTGTTTACAGCGTTACTTTCAGAAGCAGTAGATTCGGGAGAGTCGGATCTTAGCGTTCTATGACAAAATCTTGGCCTTTCCGCATTCTTATCAAAAAAGCATGGCTTACAAACGTATATGATCACCAATATATCCTTCCTAACTTTAGGGTTTTTCAGAAGTATTCTATAAAATCTTTACGGATTTTATATTCCATATGCTTCTAAAATAATGTATTCTGAATTCTGACAGGTTGATTCGAATTTCTAGACTGTTCTCTTTAAAACTACACCAGTCCCAGACTTTTACTCTCCACGGTTCGGGAGCTATAGGCATTTTCTGACGACCTATCTATCGCCCAAACTTCATGTTTGGGAACCTTCATAACACATAGAACATAGGCTATCGACCACACTGAATCTTATGACAATGTTTCTTTTTCGAAAAAGCTTAAAAACCTAATGAAAACCTTTACTTGATGAAATAATCCATTTATCACTATTTTTACTGAAAATTAAAAAATTCATAACTCAGTCAAAGTCATTTAAGTCAGAGACAGAAGCTGACAATACCATTAGATTCAGCATGATCCAAAATCTCTAAGCTTCCCGAGCCTAGCTTCAATATTAGAGAAGACAGTGAGAGTAAAAATTCATCTCATTGAAGAGGTTGTTATGTAACGCATCAGAGTCGTGCCTTAAGAGAGAAGATCATAGATAAGGGTATTGCGCAAGCATATATTCACGGTTATGGTGCAAGACTATGGTCAGGCTTATTGCGCAAGAATATTTATGGTTATTGTGTTTCAACCTTACTCACCGAAAACAGTTCTGGATGATGCAAGAACCTACAATATGACGTGACGTCACGGTATTGCATAATC